CTACTTTTGACTGGGGTCTTTCTCTAAGCTATTACTGATACATGATGAAGCTAATATTCTATATTATATATTTTCCTAATATCTTAATCCTAATATATTGCTTGTAGTGGTACTAATTAATAATGAATTTTGTATGAATAATTATTCCATGATATACCCTTCAAATACACAGAGGGGCGTTGCATGCAGCTCAGTTCTAATTGTCTCCTTACAGACAGCCACAGTTCCTCTATCAATCATATCCAGCCTTAAGTTTTCTAAACTCCTTGGTTTGTTTTTAGAAACAAGAATACCAAGCCACCTCCTGTCACCAACAGTCAATTTCTTGGCCTACCTGCGCCTCCCTGGTGCTCAATGCCATATCCATTTGCAATATTTTTCAAAACACGATAAACAGTGGACAAAGGGATGCCTGTTCTACTTGAAATCACTTTAGCTGATCTGATGTCCTTGTTATAATACTCTAAAATCAACTTCCTCTTCTCTAAATCATCCATACTGAGGATCACTGAAAATGTCGTCTGCTAGCAAGTAAACAAAGGGGGATAACTCGTCACAAACTAATGAAAAAGGATTAACTGAGTTGTCTCTCTTGAATGAAACCAAGGTGAGGTGAAATTGGGTTAAAGTCGTGCTTGAGAATATTTCGCTCATATGACGACGTGCATGCGTGTGTATGTGTATGTGCGGCTGCTTGTACTAGCCAGACTGAAGCTGGGTTTTTTTTATGGTGCTAGCCCACTGAGATACCATGCCGCAGTGAAGCATGAATACCCCACTCAGACACATTATACTGACTCAGAGCCCACCAGTCCTTGTTGTACCCATTAATGCCGAGCGCCATGCAGAGACCAACAAGTACTATATTTTAACGTCTTTTGGTATGACACGGCCGGGGATCGAACCCGCGACCTTCCGCTCTCCGGGCGGACGCTCTAACTACTACACCACGGAGGCGGTTGAGTGAAACCAAGCACTTGATAGCTGGTCAAGGTTGTTTATACTAGAAATCCGATTAAACATATTCCTAAAATTCTCAATAATTACTGATCATACTATATATGCCAAACTATGCATTCTTCGAGAAGCATCTAAGAACATGAAATGTTCAGGGTCTAATATTGATGCATCATACCCATTTTCAGCACTATATGAGCAGAACCTGAGCAGCTACTCTGTTTTCAAAGAACAATACTCTGTAAACTACTAGAATCCAAAGTGGCTACCTAACAATTGACATTTTGACATGCATCAAAGAACAAACAAATTTCAGCCCACCACGTTACTACTTACTGCAATGCTAACAATGTATCTTAAGTAGCAAAGAAGATAGGTTTTTAAAAAAAATAATGTTAGGAGAACATAGACATCCCTCAGGGATCAGTCCTAGGACCTTTACTCTTTTTGGTTTATATCAATGATATTGTTGAAGATATACAGTGTAATATTAAATTATTTGCCGATGATACATCCTTATATGTGATAATTGATGACCCTATGGTATCTTCCAATATGTTAAACGATGATTTAGAAATAATAGCTAAATGGGCCCAGGCATGGAAAGTAAACTTCAATCCCAATAAAACTGAATCTATCATTTTTTCTAGAAAGAAAACAGTAACATCAATGCCAGATCTTATAATGAATGATATACCGATAAAGTCTGTTGACACTCATAAACATCTGGGGCTGACTTTACAAAGTGATGGCCACTGGAATATACATATAGATGATATTATTTCTAAAGTCAGTCCTATGATCAATTGTTTAAGAAGTCTGAAATACCGCCTTCAGAGGAAAACCCTCCAAACCCTGTATAGTTCATTTGTTTTACCACTTTTTGACTATTGTGATTATATTTGGAATAACTGTACACAAACTCAAGAGTTATTGTTAGAAAAACTTCACTTAGATGCTTTAAGAACCATATGTGGATCAGTTAGAGGAGTTTGTCATTCCAAAATCTACCATGAAACTGGTTTTTCATCATTAAAGGAACGTCCGTAAAACCACCAAATGTATGTATTTCATAAAATGTTCCATAATAAAACTCCAAAGTATTTATCAGATCTAATTCCAATAAATATATCCTCTGTATCCACATATGGATCTAGATCTAGTAATATGCTTCAAGTACCATTATGTCGCACAGAAACATATAAAAATCGCTTTTACCATCCTCTGTGATGGAGTGGAACAAGTTAGATAATGATACAAGAAACATAGATTCCGTTGCCATGTTCAGGAAACACTTTGATCGAAATGTCTCATCCAACGCACATCATGTCTTCAGAAACACTGGTAATAGATTTAATCAAATAATTCATTGTAAGTTAAGACTTGGCTGTAGTGACTTAAACGCACATAAATTTGACCGTTTTCTTCAAAATACGCCTACTTGCACTTGTGGCCATCATTATGAAGATGCCATTCATTTTCTATTTATCTGTCCAAATTTTAATTCAATTCGACGCAGTGTTTCTATTACATAAATGGTTTTAATATTCAATCTGTACTATGTGGAAGTTACTCATATTCTGATCGAAATCAATGAAAATATTGTAAAATCTGTACATGACTATTTTACCTTAACAAAACGATTTTTTACCTAATTGATTAATTATACTACTGTGTTTTTCATTAAGTCTTCTACTCCTCAAATGGTGTGTTCTCTTGTCTGTAATGATGAATGTATATAAAATGTTTCCCATCGCATTGTATTCGGAGAGGTATTTCTATAGGCTTATAGCCTGTTTACCAATCCGTTCATTTAATAATGAATAAATATTGTTTAAATCACATAGACAACAGAAGCAAACATCAGACTATCCATAGCTAATCAAGATATCAACAAAAAAACAAAACAATTCTAGATTATTCATGTTTGAGGTATTGACACAAAGTCTGCAAATTTTCAAACTTGTGCAGATCATACATTCAGATCTATAGATTGCTGAAAATCATTACCCCACTAAAATGGCAAATTTCCCCTGAACATCTTAAATCCAATACAGCCGTCAAACTACATAACTTTTGATATATGACTAAAAACAGAAAATGTACAGCAACCAAAGGCGACATTAGAACCAGCTTCTGCAAGACTTCTCCCTGGTTAGTTAGCTTTTGAAAAAATTGTGAAGAAGTCTTGGAAATTTTTTGAAGAGAACTTTGGTCCAGAAGTAGCACTCAATATGGCGATCATGGAAGGCCCTTTCTTGTGCTCAATGTGCTGAGTAGTACCTGGACACAAAGTATGGCAAGTTTGAAACTTCTGGAGTTGATAGTTCGAGCTCAGCACATTTTGGGAGCCAAGTGGTGGAAAACACGGCCCAAAACTTCAATCCAATATGGTGCATTTTAGCGATCTGACCCTCCATGCAAAATTTTAGGGAATTTGATTGTGCATCTGCACAAGAAATTTGAAAGCTATTTGAGCAGTAGTTTTGGAGCTATTTGTTGTTGAAATTGATTTTTTAAAATTGATTTTGAATTAACTGCCATTTGCTATTGGGCCTAGAGCCTTGAGACTTTTGCGGAAACAGATTCAGCACTGTGATTCTTAGCACTGGTTTAGGAACTATGTTTGGTACAAAATACAGCAGAATAATGAATAAAAATAATCCGAACGATTACAATAAGTCTCCTTGCCTTGAGGCATGGATCCCTACTAATCCAGTGTTTTCACAAGGCGATAATCCAGATTATGCTGTTGAGAGCACAGACAACAGGACAACAGTATTATATTTCATCCATTTTATTTCGTATACAAAATCATCCAACATGAAGTAGGTGAGATGCAGCATCTGCAAACTCTCTGCTGCTGATTTGTCTACTCCTGAGATCATGTCTTAAGACACCTCCTAAGATCATGTCTTTGGACATCCAGGCGACATTCCAAGTCCCTGTATTTCATTTTCTTCAAGGGATGTTTTTTGTCCACCGCCGAACTGCAACAGGCGGACTTCAGTGTGAGTCTCCTCAGAGGAGAGTGCCACCCCTCCAGATGGTTGTTGGTGTGGGGTTACCTTTTTGTCTACATGTACATGGGGATGAGTATGGTCACCTTTCACCATCGTCACAATGTCATTGACAGTTGATGCAGTGGAGTTATAGTTCTTTTCTATGCACTTCCAGGATATCCAATCACGCTTCCTCTTATTCACTTGGTACAAAAATCCACCAACACATAGGTATCTTCCACCACGAGATGTAAGGAGAAATCTCTGATTTAACTGTGCATCAGCCATTTCGAAATTGAATGCTCTCTACCACAAGGTCTTTCCTTATATATCCAAATTGAATGAAATATGTTCATCATTGTAAAATTACATGATGACATTGATGACATTTTGGGTGAACTATGTGAGTGAACTATGATCACGCCTTACACAATGCTCACGTTATCGAAAATTGTAAAACAACAACTAGTAGATTAGCGTGACTCAAGCAACCCCTTCAACATAAAAAAGGTCGACTTCTTGTCAATATACCAATCAGCCATGAAGGTCAAGTGTTATAAACCAACTGAGTACAGTGTAATTTAAACTGTTATAGGGTATTTTTGCAGATGATCCTAATTATACAAATACCTATTTGCAGCTAGATTTTGATGCTCTGTGGCCCTATTTTAGGTTAGTTTCCCAGAACTGTCATTTGTACCATGCTTTGTGCTTGATAATAAATTATGGTCATCAACTTGCTGCATGTGAACGTGTGAAGCCCAATTCTGGTGTCCCCCAGCATGATATTGCTGGACTATTGCTAAAAGCGGCGTAAAAACCAACTCGTTCACTCACTCACTGCATGTGAACATCATCAGTATACTGATGCATAAATTTGGTTAGATTTTAATGCTCTTCATCACTATTTGCTTTGCTTTGCTTTTTTTTTGAGTTATTGCATCACAGTTTTTTTAATCATGACATATCTGGGCTGGTAACTTAATCTTATCTTGTTCTAAACGGAATAGAGTCATATTGCTGCACTTTTCTTGTTTCCAGGTTGGTACGAAGGCCCCTCAAGCAGCTGGCAAGATCCACACTGACTTTGAAAAAGGGTTTATCATGGCTGAAGTGATGGCATTTGAAGACTTCAAAGAAAATGGCACAGAGGTGGCGTGCAAGGTAAGTTAGCTGGTTGGTTGGTTTGTAGTTTAACGCCATCCTCAGCAATATTCCTGCTATATGGAGGCGGTCTGGAAAATAATCGAGTCTGTACCAGATGATCCAGTGATCAACATCATGAGCATCGATCTACTCAATTGGGATACGATGACATGTGTCAACCAAGTCAGTGAGCCTGGCCACCCTATCCCGTAGTCGCCTCTTATGACAAGTATGGGTTACTGAAGACCAATTCTAACCTGGATCTTCACGTGTGGCAAGGTAAGTCAAAGTACAAGGTACACAGATGTGCATAAATCTTTAGCTGACATGAACATTTAAGCTGTTTTAGGTTGAGTCTCTGGGATTCAAGCGAACTCAGGAATCTGAGGGATATCATTTGTCTTCTCGACCCGTGAAGATCCGGGGTAGAATAGGTCTTCGGCAACCCATGTTTGCCACAAAAGGCGACTATCCTTGTCGTAAGAGGTGACTAACGGGATCGGATAGGACGAATGGAACGAAAGGAGCGAATGGAAAGAAATAGCAACGAATGGGACGGTGTATCATTGACCACCGTCTTATATATGCAAACCTACTTTGCATTTCATGTGCACTCATTTCCGGGCGTATTCAGGCGATACGACCAGTTTGCAGTGGGTGTGATTGAGCGAGCAGTTTTAAATGAAAAAACCTAAATGTCTTCAGAACATGCCACCCTCCATGATAGACCCATGTCTATCATTAAAACTGACTAAATGGGAGAAACATAAAGAAAACTATCTATGAGTATGTACATCAGCTGCTGTTACAAACATCATTTCAAATTCATCATTCAACTCCATTCAAGAGGGCAGATCTTTGTGATAGGCCTATTCAAGACTGTAGAGCCAACCTGAACATCAAGAACATGCACATGACCATCCTTTCCAGGATAGGTCTTCAGTACTCTACCTAGAGACCAAACACCACGAGGAGTATCCGGAGATACTACAATCACAACGTCATCGACTTGTAGGTCTCGGGATGGTGTGAACCATTTCTTTCTGATGTTGAGAGATGACAGCCACTCTCTCATCCATCTTTTCCGCGCATGTCTGATGAATTCTTGAACTCTTCTCCATCGCTTCTTAGGGCTGAAGGAGGTAGAGTCTAACTCTGGCGCAAATTCCCCACCTACCTGACCATGTATGCAATGTTTGGGCGTTAGTGGAACATCATCCTGTGGATGTGCACTTTGATATGTCAAAGGTCTAGAATTCATTAGAGCTTCCACTCCTGTGAAGGCTGTCATGAGTTCCTCATCACTATCATCCCCCTGAACTCAAATAGCATAAATAGTTCTTTTGGCCGACTTCACCAATGATTCAAAGACTCCTCCAAAGTAATAATAATAATAAACTAGGATTGCCTCCTGGGCAATTCTGACGGTCTTCAGACTTCCCCTATACACCCCCGTGGCTACCTTCACTTGTACTGTTGCTTTGGACGCCAGCTGGACCGTCCATTTTAACCCTCGGAGTTACGGGTGTTGAAGTGTATTGAAGTGCTAGAAAGCGTCCAAAACGCAGGCTAAACATGTTTTTGAGACGAGAGCGGATCGGTGAAATGCAGCCGGGGTCGCGGGGTCATGTACCTTTTAAATAGTTCCCATAGAAGATATAGTTCTCTCTTTAACAGCGGGTAGCTCCGCCATCCTTGGGTCTACGGTCCAAACGATTAGAGCTCTGGTATCACCATGACCCTAGCTATCTGACGCATACACGTATGTGTATATACTGCTCTTGTGAAAAAAACCCCATAGATTTATGTGTATATAGTGCATTTGTTAAACACCCATTCAAAACAAAAATTGAAACAAAACTCATATCTGACTCTTATCTGTACTTACAATGTTTATTCATGCAAACTTATTATCGATGCTGTATGGCTAGGATAATGCCGATGTAACGTAAAGGCCAATTCAAGGGAAACTATTTCTTTGGGCATGGGATGACTTCCAGCTCAGATTTGACAGCTCCTTGTCATTGTCAATTACATCTGGCGTTGAAATTCACATCGTCTCCCGTATTTGCACGTGAACCACGCTTTGCAGTGGTAGTCTTTTTATAGGAGATATCTGTTCTCCCGCGTGAGCGCTTTTATCTGATAGTGAAGCGACCTGTGGGATGTTTATCTGTATCATAAATTGCAACTGTGTAATGTGACTAACAAATTGTCTGCTTTTAAATTTCATGTTATTACTTTTCTGTTTTTCAATGACAACGTAATGAATAGATGTTTTTTAAATAAAACTCATTTTGACTGTGTACTTACAATGTCTATTAATGCAGAATAAAGCTGTCTTTTGCAGTATTCAAGAACATTCCATGAAATATCACCAAATTAACTGACCGGTTCAGGCTGATATTCAGTCATAGTATAAAGAAATATGTTATGAAGGCTCACAGCAAACTGTCTATAAAACAAACATTTTGAAAATATACATCTTCTCTGCTGAGGAGTATCAAATGTGCGTTTATGTGCTGGATTCCTGCAATCATGATGATGTAGCAGAACGGGTTTGCGCGATCCTGGCACAGTCAAGCTGATAAACAAACTGCTGGAGTCCCAGTTGTTACTTAAAGCGCATTGATTTTGGGGCACTGGAATACCAGGAAGCGGCGACTGTTGCTAGATTTTACTGGCGCTTCCTGTGATATGAGATAACTGACTGAAGGAAGCGACAGTAAAATCTAGCAACACTCGCTGCTTCCTTGAGTTAGTTTTCTCACAACTGAAAAAATGCGAAATCCTCATGTCCCTCTCTGTTTGGGGCGTAATTGTGACGTAACTATTGACTTTTACATAATAATAGTGTGAAGCAAAATTGTTCTACATTTTATTGTCTACAGTTTGGTACCTTCAAAAATGAAATCCATTGTGTTTTCGCAGAGCTGTGAACCCTATAAAAATGCGTTTTGCCAAATATTGACCAACTTCCAAGGGCAATAACTCCGACACTATTCAAGATATGGACATGCATTGAACAACCTAAGTAGTCCGGAGTGTGGGCTTTAAAACGATATATAGAACACTATTGTACTATTTGCCGTTCAGGAGCAGAGGATTGTAAAACAGAGGCACCGTCAAAAGGTGCGGAAATGTGCGAAATCGCTGAAGGCCGTGTTTCGCGTCGTAATGGTGGCGTTATTATTGATTTTACATAACCATGATGTGAAGCAAAAATGTTTCCCATTCAATTACCTAGAGGTTGGTACTTAGAAAAATGGAATCCACTCATTTTTCGCAGAGTTGAGACCTTTTTCTTAACCCTATGAAAACGCGTCTTAAAAAATTCACCAACTTTCAAGGGCGATAACTCCAAAACCATTCAAGATATCGACATGCCTTGAACAATTAAGGTGTCCAGAGTATAGGCTTTCCAGCGGTGTATCGAAGAACGCGATTGTACTATATGCCGTTCTGGAGAAGAAGATTTTTAAAGACAGGCACCGTCAAATCGTGAAAATCGGCAAAAAATTCAGTTTTTTCAAAATAGCGGAAAATTTGACCTGCTCGCCAACTTCCGGTATGTGTTGAATCGACGGGGAATGATGTTGTCTACATTGAGTGAAAATTTGGTCAATCTACCTCTTATAGTTTTTGAGTTATTCAGGTGCAAAGATTTCGACATTTTGGGTTGTCTGCCCTTATCGGAAGCCGGAAGTCGGGATTTTTTCGACATTGTATCAATTTCAGTATACAGGCTATCATCCCTGAAAGTTTCATGCAAATCGACCCAGCGGTTAGGTCAGGGGAGCGGGTACAAAATCGGTACAAATAATAATAATAATAACTAGGATTGCCTCCTGGGCAATACTGGCGGTCTTCAGACTTCCCCATATACACCCCGTGGCTACCTTTACTTATCCTGTTTCTTTGGACGGCAGCTGGATCGACCATTACAGTGTTTCTGAGATTACCAAGAAAGTAAATGTTCGTTAATGTGAAATGTTGACGCCCTAATTTGGCGCTGATTCAATGCAGCTAACACAAACTGCAGAAAAACAAACAGGAATGCACAGCCAAGCACAGCAAAGGAAATGAGCAATAAATACAGACATATACTAAAAGAGAGATTACTGGTAAATGTTGCCGATTTTGTTGTTATGAAAATATCAAGTATGATCCTGTCATAGTAACTCAACTCAACTCAGGCTTGCAAACAAACTGGTGGAGAGATTAGATCCTGCCAATTCCAGAACATTAACTCTTTTGAACGGAGCTACGGCCTGTTATAAAGGGAACTGTTTCTATGGGCATTGGAAAGCCAGGAAGCGGCGAATGTTGCCATATTTTACTGGCGCTTCCTTCACCTATCTCACCAGCTATCTCACCACTAACCAAATGCGAACAATCCGAATGCTCGTGTTTGTGTCGTAATTATTGACTTTTACATGACAATAATGTGAAGCAACAATGTTCCCCATTCAATTATCGTCAGTTTGGTTCCTTGAAAAACGGAATTCGTTGTGTTTTTGCTGAGCTGTGACAATTTTATGAACCCCATGAAAATGCGTCTTAGAAAATTCACCGACTTCCAAGGTTGATAACTCCACAACTATTTAAGATATCGACATGCCTTGAACAAACTATGTAGTCCGGAGTGTGGGCTTTCTAACGATATATCAAACACTATTGTACTATATGCCGTTCAGGAGGAGGAGATTTTTAAACACAGGCACCGTTAAACCGGAAAAATCGACCCAAAAATCAGTTTTTCCAAAATTGCGGAAAATGTCTTCTGCTGCCCGACGGATTTGATGTGTTGAACCGATGGCGAATGACGTTGTCTACATTGAGTGAAAACTTGGTCAAGTTATCTCTTACAGTTTTGGAGATATTGAGGTTGAAAGAATTTAAAATATTTTGACATTTTGGTTTATCTGCCCTTACCGGAAGCCGGAAGTCGGGATTTTTTCAACATTGTATCAATTTCAGCATACAGGCTATCATCCCTGAAAGTTTCATGAAATTCG